TTGGAGTAGTTCGTTTTCTCGCGGCCTGATCGCCTTGTCTGAAGGTCGGGGAGAGGACGGTTCCCGGTTTTTGTCTTCGTCCCAGCTCTCTGTCTGGGCGTGGTGGGAAGGCCGTGCCTTTAGGCTGCGCCACGCTGGTGCGCCCACCTCTGCGCGGGTCATGCCTTTGTTTTCCGTTTCCCCTCGCACTGCAGCAGAAGCCCGGCGGCACGGCGGCGGCGGGACGGGGTGGGCGTGGAAGTTGTAGCTAACGCACTGCAGTGCTGCCGGGCGGGCTGCGGTCTCCAGGGGGACCTCACCGGAGATGCAGATAATTTCGCCGCATGAGGATACGATGGATGCTCTAACAAGTCCACAGAGGGTCCCTACAACAGAGCCGGTGCCCGCACCTCCCCCCCCCCCTGTGTTCCTTCCTCCCAGGGGGTGCCCGTGGGATATAGAAGGGGGGGGGGGCTTCGGGGGGCCGGGGACCTCAGCCAGCACGTCCGCGAGGCGCAGGAGGGGCCCGTCGACAATGGCGTTGGCAGGAGCCAAATGTCCTCTCCCCCGCTCCCCTACTCCCCGCCCGAGGGGCCCGAGGTGTGGCAGGGGAGGGGCCCGCGGGGCAGGGGATAAAATTGGCCCAGCAGAGAGCAACGCTGCGCTGCGGTATGTGTGAGCCGGTCGGGGCTGAGCCTCAGGCTGCGGCCGGCCGGGGGGGACGCCGCCCCCGCCCCCCGCCCTCTCTCCGGTCGTGGTGAGGAGACCCGGCTGACCCCGAGTCCGAGAGGAGCGGTCTGGAACACCTCCCCCTCCCCGCCGCACCGCGCCACGCCCAGCGGCCCAGAACACACCCCGGTACACCGGCCGCTCCCGCTCGCCACACAACTTGCCTGCAATGTCCACAAGTTCGACTCCACCGGCCCTCCCCCCCAACCTGCCTCACCGCGAAGGGCACGCGAGGGCACACGGCTCCTGGGCAGGGTGGGCACGGCTCCTGGGCAGGGTGGGCAAGGCTTCTGGGCAGGGTGGGCACGGCACCTGGGTAGGGGGTAGGGTAGGCACGGTCCTTGGGCTGGGCGGGCACGGCTCCTGGGCAGGGTGGGCACGGTCCTTGGGCTGGGCGGGCACGGCTCCTAGGCAGGGTGGGCACGGTCCTTGGGCAGGGTGGGCA